GTAAGCTGTGTGTTCGGTATGTGCACCTGAGTGCAGCAGCCAGAGGAGTGGAATCACCCTGAACCCGCAATTCTGGGAGCTGGGAGCTACCTGACAACAGATGCTGGGAATGTAGTCATACACATGCCATAGGCTGTGTGGAGCCAAGAGGACGACATATGGGCCCCAGGGATCAACATCGGGCCATGGAGCCTGTGAGGCGAGCACGTGGGACCCCTTGTGACATCTCCTTCTTTTCCATTTCTTGAAGAGCTTTCTACCTTTGTTCTCCTTTTGCTTGCATACACAGCAATGAAAATGGCACAGAAATCTCTTATATTCTTAAAGGCATCACGCTGACTAACAAAGGTATAGACAACAATAATAATGAACATGATTGTTAGATTAATCTATCAAAGAGGAAAAACTATTTGTGTTGGTGAAGGATGCTATAACCCAGTACCATAGACAATAGAGTAAAGGGTGTGAAACCATGCTTGTCCCTATTTTTATTTTTAATTTTGTACATGCTACTCTACCATGGGGTAGAGTGTAGGAGCAGCTGGGGATGGGGAGCAAATTGTTACTTGTCTGGCCTCAGTGAGAGAGGAAGCACCTAGCCTCGAAGTGACCTGAAGTACCAGGTGGAGGATACCCAGGGGAGCCCCACCCCCTCAGAGGAGAAAAGGATGGAGGAGGGGGAAGGATTGTGGGAGGGAATAACCAGGAGGGGGGCCAGTGAGGGGGATATAAAGTGAATAAGTAAAATGTAAATTTTTAAAAAATGACAGGCGACATAAAAAAGTCACTGATCCCATTCTATGGGCTCCACCCTGTGGCCCCATTAACTGCCTCCCAAAGACCCCTGCACGCATTTCAGAGAACATACATATTCAGTCTACAATACTTTATAGGAAGTGTCAGCTAGCATAACATTAATATTTAAAACATATTTAATACATTCCAACCATTAAAGGTTAATGATCTGCTGAATACATCTTGAAATTCCATCAGCTCCCACAGGAACTCCTTCCTTGGAGATAGTTATCCACTTCCGATGTCTGAGGTAGTGAGCTGTATCATTCCAGCCAGAAGCCTTGATTGGCATACATCAGTTTCATTTAATATCTGATCTGCTTTTCTAAAATTAATGTAGAAAATGAGTACCTGAAGACAGAGTTTGCTGAGTGTGCACATGTGTATATATAACAGAGACTGCAACATGGGCCTGCATGGCCCACCCCTCCCAAACGTTTTTACACAGAAGTTCTTATCCACAAAGGTGACCTGTGCATTAACTATGCAGCATCTTCTATGTTGTTCCCATTCATCCTAAAGGCTGACACTTGTAAACTATAAACCTTTATGTGAACTATTTACTAGCCCTGCTGAGATCATAAACAAGAACATGGTTTCAGGGGTATCCAGGGTACAGGCACTGTGCATCCTCCAGCTGCCTACGTAGCCAAGAGGATGAAACCATCCTGCCTTATCAAGGGCAGACATTCTCTTGGCTCACAAACAAGCCTAGCTTCTGAGAACAGGCAAGCTGTCCTGGAAGAGACCTATACATGTCAAACCTCTCAATAACCCTAATTACAAATGTACTCAACTATAGTGACCACTTAAACATCATAATGCCTGCTGTTGCTTTCTGTCCTCACTGCCCTGCAGCAACACACTGAAGTGTGCACATATGCACAAGAGCCCATGAGTGGGCTCCTTGATCTGTGACAACACATCCCCATATCAGTATCTACTAGTCCACGAGGACATGAGAGGTTTACATCTGGGGATGTGGGTCAAGACATGGGTGGGCTCCAGGAACGTGATAGTACACTCTCTTCCCACATCACATGAGGAACCAACTCAGGGAGGAGAATCAGTTTTATTACTACTAAATCAGTTTTTATTACTAAAGCTTGTAACTTCAGAACTGAGCCAGTCCCACCCAGCCCCAACCCAACTAGGCAGTGAGAAGGGGTCAGGAAATGAAGCCTCAAAGTTTCCAGACTGACAGCAGACCTCCTTCAAGAAGGAAGAACTGCTGGTGTCAACTGCCATACCGCACTGTAAGAGAGGACAGGAAACTTACACTGGGTTAGGGCCGGGGACATCATCATACATGATGAATGGGGAACATGATTCCCTTTCAACTAGTCCTGTAAAAAAAGCACGGAGGTTTAAAGTTGATATGTGGATCCAAATGATTCTTCATTCAGTGGTGTTCAGAGGGCCCCTTACCCTGCTTCCTCCTCCCCCATCAAAGAGAGCCTTTACTGGGTTCCCAGTGAGAGACAGACAGAGAATGGTGAGTTATGGACTACCTTAGATTCTTGTCAACATTTACATCAACACAGAATCTTACTGAATTCCTTTCTCTGGAAGGGGATGAAGAAGGGCTATGCAGGAGCCCAGAAGGTGATCTAGCAGAGTGTGGAGCTGGGAAAAGACTGTCCCTGATCCTAACACACTGCCAAACACTGCCAATGCTCTGAGATTTCTGCTGTACACATAGTTCACTGGGTAAGTGAAGGTCAAGCCAGAAGAGAGAATATTTGAGGGGTGTTACCTCCATGATAGAAAGTGTGCTTTTACCAGATCAAGATCCTGAAAACAAAACATTGCTGGGTCCTAGGGCATGAGTACTCAGTTACTGTGTATCAAATATGTAGATTGTGATTCATAACATTAGCAAAATTACAGTTACAAATTAGCAACAAAATAATTTTATGGTTGGGGATCACCTCACCATGAGGAACTGTATTAAAGGGTCATGCATTAGGGAGGTTGAGGAGCACTGTTATGTACATAAATGACAGAGTATTATTCCTTGCTGCCATTTCTTATTTTGTGAGGTAAGCAAGATCTTGCTATGCAACTAGGTTGGCCTTGATCTTTTTAGACTGTCCTGCCTCTTCCTGAGTCCTGGGTTGTAGGCCCCCAGACAGAGTGAGTTCCAGGACATCTGTCCTGCTTCTTCCTGAGTGCTGGGTTGTAGGCCCCCAGACAGAGTGAGTTCCAGGACAGCCAGGGCTATACAGAGAAACCCTGTCTCGAAAAATTAAAAAAAAAAAAAGAGTTTAAAGACTTGTGTGATTCCTAAATCTCTCTCTCTGCTTTGTGCTTCCAGTTCAAGGTTTGAGGCCTCAGCTTCCTGTTCCTCCTGCCCTGCCTTCTCCTCCATCATGGACTCAGGAACCGTAAACCCACATAAACTCTTCTATAAGTTATCTTGGCCATGGTGGTTTTCACACAATGAAAATAAATAATGAAAATAACCCATACACACCTCCAACCACCAGTCATAGTATTTGACATAAAAAACAAATTCCATCCTTCTAACGCAAATGTTCCATCTAGTAGAACACCTCAAGGTTTAAAATCCCTGGGAGAAATTGTGGGTAAAAGCAAATATGTGTAAAACAAAACAAAACAACAACAACAAAAAAAAAAAACAGGGCAGAGGGCCCTGGTGTGGCCCCTCAGTGTTTCTTTGGCTTGTAGACCACCCTAGAGGAAGCATGGAATTACCTGGTTTCCTGACTCCCAATCCTAACTCCTCCCATTAGTTTTCCCTCTGGAGAACTCCTGCTTTAGAACAGAATGTAAGCTCTTTGGGTAATGGGAACATTGGTTTGCCTTATGAGTTTATAAATGTCTAGCAAAAAAGTCCCTCAACTCGGGCATTCATGACTAAGATGTTCACCCTGGTGTTCCTCACCACCTGAGTAATTCCACAGTCACCCACTGAGGTAGCTGCAAGTGCATGAACAACATGAACAGCAGTGGGCAGGGAAATGAGGGTCCTTAGGAGATGTTAGCCTTAACAACTGGGAGGACTCAACCCCTTCCTGTCAGTCATTATGTTAGTTTCCTGGGCTGCCTTAACAAAGCTCTTAGTGGCTTTCACAAAAACGCTAGATCAGCGCTGGCAGCCAAAAGTCCAAAATCAAGGTATCAGTTGGACCACCTCTGAAACTCACTGAAAGGAATCCTTCCTGTGTCTTCCAACACAGTGGTCACAGTCCTGGGCATTCCTGGACAGGTCATCACATCTCTCCCTACTCCTTTGTCACTCATTTTCGATTTCTGTCTGCCCGTGTTAGAAGGACAGTTGCTTTTAGTAAAGAGGGTCCACCCCGCAGGGTGGTGGCTCATGCTTTTAATCCAGTACTGGGGAGGCATAGGCAAGTGGATCTGTGGGTTCGAGCCCAGTCTGGTCTAAGAGGGAGTGCCAGGACAGCCAGGACTTCATGGAGACACATGACATCTGGGGGCAAAGGTGGGGAGGGGAAAACAAGCAAAAGTAAAATGAAACAAAAAAGCCAACAAAACAAACAAACAAACAAACAAGCAAAAGACCAAGACAAACCCCCAAATATCCAAGCCTGATTGTGTCAGGCACAGATGCCTCCTGAGTCACAGAAGGGCTTCGAGGGCAAGATGTTTACAGATCCTGGCCAGCACTGGAAGTGCACAGCTAATCGTGCGATTTCTAGGCATGGGGTCTTCCCCTTGCACTAGCCCCTCTTAAGAGAGTCCTCACATTCCATGATGTTACAGTTTCCTTAAGAGGATCAAATTCCTTTACATATGGGTATTTACATATGGATCTTCAAATGAAAATAAGCACAAAAGGAAGTGGAATAGTACCAAATTCAAAATATGACTAAGAAGCACGCGGAGAAGAAAAAGAAATGCCCACCCTGCAGTGGTACCAAGATGCTCCTCTAACCTTCAGTGAGGTGACAAGAGTCTGCAGTCAGGGCAGTGAGTGGGTCCGCTGCCCTGGGGGAGGGGCAGGTAGGGAGGCTCTGGTGCCGCCAGGGGGCGCGCGAGCGCCGGTGCTGGAGTCAGGCGGGAACCGGGGGAAGGGGCGGGCAAGAAGGGCGCTGGGCCTCTCTGGTTGGCTGAGCTCCGGTGCTCAATGTCCGGTCAGTTTTACGCTCGGTCCCGCCCTGGCGCCCTGCTTTTCCGCCGCGGCGCGCTCCTGGCGTGTACCGTCCGCATTTCAGATCCCAAGGCTCCACCACGTGCTCGCCCGCCCGGTCCCTGCTCCGTGCGCGTCCCTTGGGTGTGGGAAAGGCGACCAGCCTCGCGCAGCCCGGATTTGTCCTCTCCCAGGTGGAGGCACGGCGTCCGGACGGCTCCGGGTCCTGGGCACGCTGGGGGCTCCCGCCCGCCCAGTAGTAGTCCGGTGACAGGGACATCGCCTACTTAGGAAGTAAATGCGATCAGAGATGGGAAAGTAGAAAGATGCAAGACAGTTCCAGTGTTAACAAGGACGGAGGTAATTTCGCCCATGCAGCCGCATCCTAGCCCCACGTGTCCTTCAAATGCCACTTGGCACAGAGGCGAGGCTTTTTGTTTTGTTTGTTTTAAGGTTTGAGGGTATCTTCAGAGAGCCGATGCCTGCAAGCGAGTCCAGCAAGGACCTCTCCCTACAGGCCCTGGATTACCTTTCCCCTGACATGGATCCAGCCTATCTGGGTTTTGGGTCCTGGGGAGAAATCTGAGTGGCTGGATTCCCACTTAAGCAAGGCGACCTCTAAGCCATGATTTAGAAATCTCGATTTAGAGTTCCTAAGACCTGGTGTAGGTGTTTTGTGAGCACCCGGGAGCCCTCCCTGTTTATGAGGAGACTGGTTGAGACATAGATTAAAAACAAATATCCGGGCTTGAGAGATGGTTAAGACTACTTACATCCTTTCCACAGTTCTTGCTAAATTCTCAGCAACCACATGGTGGCTCACAACCATCTGTATTGGGATCTGATGCCCTCTTCTGGTGTGTCTGAAGAAAGCAACGGTGTATTCATATAAAACAAATAAATCTTTTTCAAAAATTATTAAGCTATTGAGACAGATTCTCATGCTGGCCCAGAGACTATTTCTGCTCCAAGACCCTAAGTATTGACATTTATGTACCACTGTACCTGTTGAAGGCCATTTTAGATGGAAAATAGGCTTGTGGACTCTTGTAAACAAGTTCCCTGGGTGGTAGTTTTCTTTCCTGTAGAGGTTAGGTTTGTGTTGAGTCAGTTAGAAGTCTGACTGAGTGATAGGCAGCATGAACCACTGTCTAAGGACTGCGGACAAGTTCTAAGGTTAAGATTTGTTTCCCTTCCCTGTTCAGCCTAAGCAGACATGTCTGATGCTGCTTCTGGTTTTGAAATCAGAAAGTGGTTCAACTTTCCTAAAGAAATAGTATCGCTAGTAATTTTGTTTCTAAACATTAAGAGTCTTTGCTTCTGCAATGGAAACTGGGAGAGGCCCTGAGGGAATAAAGCAGGACACCCCCCCCCCCACACCCAGCTGTCAGGAATGTGAGGATCAGAGCTCTGCAGTTAGTAGCCACCAGAAAGGTCCTTTGTGTGAAGAGCTGTGGCCTGGTACGTGTAATGTGATTGACTTTTTTTTTCTTTTGAACAGATGCAATGCTGTGTCCAGGATGCTGATGAACTTAAGATGTGTTAGATGGAAAATTTGACTTGCCAGGCATAATTCCAGGGACAATTCTTGGCCAAGGATGAGAACTCTAACCTGACTGGATACACTACCCTGATGGGTTAAAGGATTTACCTGAGGCCAACAGAACAGGCAGGAATTCAGTGCATTCATCCTTTTTAAATTAGATGAAGGTCGTGAGGAACATAGTGAGAGGGCTTAGCAGTGCCAAGCCTGGTTACCTTTGATTCTGGGACCTGGTGGGGAGAACCAACTCTCTAGAGTTATTCTTGGACCTTCATGTGTGTGCTAGCACACCTGTGTGCACACACTAAAAAATAAATATAATAAATGAAGAGAGTTAATACTTAGAGAAAGATATGGCTTTGCATTTAAAATTGTGTTAAAATATTCCTGAGCAGACGTACCTACCCAGTGTACTGGGTAGTACTTTAAGGATTCTGTTTATGCAAAAAGATAGTTAATGTCAACATAGTCTACACTTCAATGTTTCTGTGTTTATTATATAATGGTTCCAGGCCTAATGACCTGTGATGTTTCTTCTGCAGCTCTGGACCTTGAGATGAACTGGTCTAATTTCCTGAAGAGAAGGTATGCAGCTGTGTATAGAATCAAGGTTTTAGATTTCTTTGTTCCCTTTATAGTGGAAACAGATGAATTTTGAGGCGGTCCCATTATATATAGAGAACATGACAATTTCTCTACCTGTAGAATTCAGCTCCATTAGTTTTCTATGTGTCAGCTCTAGCCTGAAATTTGCCACAGTATTAACTTAAAAGATCTTTTGAAAAATTTGGCTTTATTTATAAAATTTTTACTTTTGTATGTTTTACCTCCATATCTGTACTATGTGCATGCAGTGCCCATGGGGGCCAGAAGAGGGCATCAGATCCCCCTGAGATTGGAGTTAGAGTTGTGAACTGCCATATGAGTGCTAGGAATTGAACCTAACTCCAAGAAGAGTAACCAGCCAGGGCTCTTAATTGCTAAGCTCTAAATTTTGACAACTCAGAATTGTGTGACACATGGTTGAAAGATCTAGTGTCCCCAGGAATGAGCAGACAATCTATGTGATTTAAACTATCAGGTAAATACCTCATTATGTTCAAATGCCCTGTAGAGAAATGGAGCAAATTGAAGTTAATGTTTTCAGAGAACTTCGTAATTCTAAGTAAGAGTCTTGACCACATAGACTCAGAGAGAACTTTACATTCTCCTCCAGTGGAAAGTGCTGTGGCTGTTTTCATGAGCAGAGTAAACTTGGCAGCTATGGGTCTGGTGGGCGTGAGGTGGTGGCCACTGTGCCCTATCTCACCAGATCTCCATCCAACTGGCAGACACTCTTCAGAGTCAGCTGGCCAGCTACTCCAAAACCTGCTCACATCTCTGGCACAGTGGGTGTGAACCAGAGGGCTTTAATTTGCTGACAGATGTAACAGGAAGCACATGACCTCTTCAACAAATGCTGGTTACCACATAACCAAGCTTCCCAAGTGGAAGAAAGTATAAAGTACTTAACGTGGCCCACTAAGTCTCCATCTCCAATGCAGGAATTTCCTTCAGGGCCCTAGCTCCTACCCCTCAGCCCACTGGTCTCTCATAAATGATTGTTTCTTATCTCTAGGTCTTTATCAAGGAAAAGCCAGTGAAACTACCTGATGGTGAGTAAACTAGAAGTTCCTGACAGTTTCCTCAGATTTACCATCACCTGCTTCCTGACCTGCTTTGATCCCTCAGACTGTCCCCCTTATGAACAAAAGGATGGTCTGTTGCACAGCAGCCCTATGGTTTGGTACCAGTGCTGCAGGTACTTAAAATGGCTGCCCAAAATTAAACTAATGGTGAATAGCCATTAGGAAATAGAAACCTACCTCCGATATTTCTTAGGAATCTTGTGATCTGGACACTCTTTTCCTCATTCCTCCCTAAATGGCCTACTACCATGGGGAAAGTTCGACCTGCCACTTATAGTTCCAGCCCTCACAGCCTAGGAGCAGGGCAGGTAGGCTGGTTGGAGCTAATTGGGTTGCTGAGGGACTGCCCCAGAACCAGGCTAGTGGTCTTATACTACACAGATGTCTCCATATCTTCATTATTGAACCACAAGCGGGACCCTGAAAGCTCCCAAAATATGTGGTGCACCAACATAAGGTACAAGATCCAGATTAAGTCCAGACACAAGATCTCCCCAGACACACAGGTGTAGTGTAGACATTGGGCTGAACACAAGAAACTGAGAATTCAAGACCTCAGAATTGGTCATGTATGCTCAGAACAGCCAGTCCTCAGGACAGAGTTCAGGGAAGCTTAAGTGCAGATACAGTAAATTTGGAAGCATCGAGAGAATTTAAGTAGAAGCATTTGTAAATGTACATAGATGCTGAAGAAAGGAAAGAAATTGAGTATAGATAGTTAATATAAGGAAAATGTTAATAATAGAATATAATAAAGTAAAGCATCTGAAGTAAAGAGTTAGCAAGATTTAAAAAGGAGAATATTTTCCATGTTAAAAAATGGAAAATACTATAGCAGAAGGCATCTGGACCCTGTATAGTTCCATTTTAGTTATCATGGGGCATGTGGGTTACAATAGGTTTAACAATAGCAGTTTACTGTGCCCTCTAATCAGGCCAAAGAAGAAAGGAATAAATCTTGTCCTCTCTCAAATTCACAAGGAGCAGACTTATATAAGGAGAGGAGGAACACTAGTGTTAAAGCTGTAGAACCAAAGTAGAGAATCTTTTAAGTCAGAATAAAAGGTTTTCTCTATTCAGGTCAGAAGAATGCCCTGCAATACCAACTTATGACAAGATTGCAGGATGGCAGTTCAAGCCTATTAGAAAGCCCACAGTGACTTTCTCATTCATTCTAAGACAGCTACCCACAGATGAGAGAAACTCATAATGTTACAATGAATTTGGTTGGCAACACAGAGATACTAGATCTAAGGAGATTTCAGGAGGCAATGGTAGACTACTGAACACACCCTATGTGAAACAAGTATTATATATAACTAAGACTAAGCAACTGACCCAATCCTGAGATGGCTCTAGGAAAGGGCATTAGGCCCCAAGGGAGAGTTTCATGTTCCTAGCTCCAGGACAATTTATCAGAAACAACTCTGATAAAACACTTCTCAGAAAAACCATACAATTTACTGGCCTTCACCTTTGCCCTCTGGGGAATGAAGGTACTCCGCTAGGATGATACAATATTGGTCCAGCCAATCAGCCAAAAGGTTGAAAGAAAATAAGAAAAAATGTTTTATCCCTAACAGACTAGCAGACAGAGTAGAGCCAAGAGTGCAGGTCAGCTGATTCATGAGCTCTGTGTTCCAGGAACTTGGCTGACCACAGAATACATGGTTGAGTAAGATTGAGTTCTTGTGAAAAACCCTTACAGGATGTTTCCCCCTTGACCAATTCGTGAACCTGGTCATACACTGAATAATGGGCTGGTACTTTCCACTAGAATTTTCCAGTAACTCCCCCTCACTCCCCTGGTGTGTGGTTTTCTCCTTTAAATACCCTACACTCCCCGTGTTGGGGGTCAAACTTCTCTGCCCCTGCATGGGTTACAAGTCCCGACCCCAGCTTGTTGGTCCTGAAATAAACCTCTTGCTGTTGCATCAAGATCGGTGTCTCATGAGTCATTAGGTGGCTGCGATCTCCCACAACTTGAGTGAGGGTCTCCCATCTCGGGGGTCTTTCAAGGTCACCCTAACTACCCATCACCAAGTGCCTCGTTGTTACTGTAATCTGCCCTCTAAAAAAAGGTATAGAAGGTGTTATAAGTTAGAATCAGGGTCGTCTCTGGTCTCTTGCTTAAGAGACTGCTGAAGGTTGATCCTAGTGCATGGAGAAATAAACTTCTTGCTTTGCATCAGTCCCAGTCTCTATCTGAGTCTAAATCCAAACCTTGTCTCACTCGGGGCTGGGGTCTCCCTGGGGCTTTGCATTTGGGGGCTCATCCAGGATCTGAGTGTCTGAAGTGTGGAGAGGGAGTACTAATCTGTTCTTTTACTTTCATTTTGGCTCCAAAGCAAGGGAGATAACAAGGGAGAAGGCTACTGAACAAGAAGGTCAGTTAATGGCAGGCAGATTTGCCACATTGTAGTGACCATGGGAGTTCTGGAAGACTCTTTTAGACTACCCTGGAGGGAGTCAGGAGGACTCTTCTCCTTTCTGAGCCTGCGGGTATAGCAGGTCGGCAATTCTGGCCCAGTCACACTCTGACTCTGCCTTGAAGGGTTCAGTTTCCGTGTTTGTTGGCTATCTCATTCTGTGTTCTTGAACGTAAAGTCTTAAGTCCTTATATTTTTGGACATGGGATAGACTGAGTCTACCCCGCTAAATATCTTAGTGACACATTAGAAGGAAGTTAAGGAAAGGAGAGAAAGTAAAAAAGGGCAAATTAGTCACTATTAGTCCTGGGATATCACCTGGAGGATGGGCAGAGATGGCTTTCTCAAGCCAGGAAGCAGACCATATTACACATCCACTCACCAAAGACACCACAAGAGTTTCTGAGGAGGGGAAGAACAAGCTGCTTTTGACACAATCAAGTTAGCTCTGGTGTCAGCCCCAACATCTCGACTTCCTGACATCACAAAGCCCTTACAACTGTTTGTAGCGGAGAGCAAAGGAAGTGGTCACGGGGCCCTTGAAAAAGGCCAGTGGCCTAAATCTCAAAGAAACTTAACCCAGCAGCATGTGGCTGATTGCCCTCCCTCTGTATGGTAGCGGCTGACTATGGGACAGAACCAGTCAGTCACAACCTCCCACTCGATAGAGAGCTTAGTAAACCAGCCCCTAGACAGATGGTTAACCAATGCCCCGGTGACCCACACCAGTTCCTCCTCTCAACCCAGAACGGATCACATTCACAGCCCGCTTGCTTCCTTGCCTTCAGATGCCAATCTGGAACTTCCCTTGCATGATTGCCGGCAAATACTTGCTGAGGCACACTGTTGGAGAAAGAACTTAACTGACCAAACGTTTTCCGATGCAGAAGTCACTTGGTTCACTGACAGGAGCAGCTTCTTGGTTGATGGTCAATGGAAGGCTGGAGCTGCAGTAGTATCCTACTGTGGGACTGCATAAGGGTATCCTGGGTCATGGTGGAGCAGGTGCCTAGAACCCCGAGACTCTGCAGATTCTGGGTAGGATTCTGCGTGAGCACCGGCAGGAGTTTGGCACCCCCCCAGAACCCAGGATTCTGAAAAACAGTCACGGTCTCCATAGAATTACATTGTTCAGTCACATAGGCCAGGCTATAGGCCTCAGGCCCTAGGGATTTACATATTAATGAAGGCCAGAGGGCAGAGCAAATTAAACATTCCTCCCCCAGATCCTCCCCTAATCCTCCCCCTTTCTCCCTCCCTATATAACTCAGGACTGCCCTGAGTTCTGGGGGGGGGGGTACGCCTAGATCCATCTATCATCTGCCATGACAATAAACCTTTTTGGAACCAAGGACTTCCTCGTGTTATTGGGGCCTGCCGCCGCCAAAGCCTCCAGGCAGCTGGAACTATAAGATTCCTCCCAAATGTGGGACCCACCACAGCGGTGGAAGCCCCTCTGGGGCCCCACCGATGACTGTGGGGCAGTAGGCTATGAGAAGCCAGAAAGCTTGGTAGAAATCCTTGAAGCCCCAGAAACCTTGGTCTGAAGAGGGCCAGCAGGACGGAAGGTTGCTTCAGGACTTCCCAAGCCATATATGGCCCTCTTAGCTTCCACTTCCCACAAAGAGGTCCGTGGCCTTTACCACGTAGGAATAACACCTCCTGCTCTGCGCGACTGAAAAGCATGCTGTGCCCTAGCTCACAGCTGCGCTCTCCCTCATCGCCGCTGCCGCCACCCCTGTCTCTGGGGGTCTCGAGCCGACCGGAGGCTGCCGTGGAGCACGAGCCCTGTTGTCCCGCTGGCTACCAAGGGCCCTGGGCCAGCTTGGCCGGCGCCTTCCGTGCCCCTGACCCCAGAGTCCGTCGGCCCGCCCCCGCAGGCCCGGCCTAGAGAAGACGCCCGCCGCCGCTGCAGTCCTCCTCCTGCTCAGGCGGCCTGTGACCGCCGTTTCCCACACCTGCCGCCCTGCGCCCCAGGCTGCGCAGCCACTGCCGCCCTCAGTGCACTGCGGTGGTTCCGCCAGCTGCTCTCCTGGGTCTTGTTGCGCTTCTGCTCGTGCCAACACGCCCACCTGTAATCCCTAGACGCAAGCAGTGCCCGACATTCTGGCGCGACCAACGTGGGGCTTGCGACTGCAAGAACCAAACCACCCAACGCGAGGCCAAAGAACCGAACCACCCAACGCGAGGCCACCGGCCTCTCTGTGCCAAAGCCACCAGCTGCACTTGGGCGCCCCGTCTCTGTTCTGCTCTACCTCCCTGATTGTGAGTTCGAAAAGTGTCGCAAGAACTAACACTGGCAGAAGGTAAGCCCCCAAGCCTGGAGACAATAATCTATCACTTCCTCCTGGACTTTCGGTCAGAGCCATCATGTGGATTTAAATTAGCCGAAGGAGCAACTGAAGCCACCTGGCTAGGGCTACCCCCTTGTGTAGGCTGAAGGCTCCTCCGACCTCTACTTAAATCCCGACAGCCCATAACGGGTGTTGGCGGAGACCTTCTATCTAGAATCTCTTCATGACAAAAAGAAAAAATCTGGTAATGCAGCGACCAGTTAAAGGCTATTAGAGCGGTCGCCAGAATATCTCAAATCTGCAGACAGGCTTAACGTTTTGGGCTCTTGGGAATGCCCGGAGGCTATCAAGCCAAAGGAACGTTCCCATTGGACAAAGCACTTCTCCTCTTTTCTGTCATGGGCAATTCCACATCACATAAAAAACCACCCCAGGTCAGACAAATATGTGCCCTACTGGAATCCCAAGGGGTGAAAATAACTAAAAAACAAGCCTCCCTGTTTTGGGAGGAGGTCCTTCAGATAGCCCCATGCATGGCTGAGGACAATATTTACAGTGCCGATTCATGGAGTAGAGTAGCCTTTCTTATCAAAAACAGAAACACCCAAGAAGGAAAAAGGCTTCCTCATGGTTTTCTGCCAATCTTAGCTGAGATTTGACAACATATAGGGCCCTCTAAAACAGGACAGATGGAAAACAATACAACTTTTGACACCCCTCAGTCAAAAGAGACCAAAGATCAGGTTCCCCTCCCCCATCACCCTAGTTCAGACCTCGCAGCCCTTACCCAATTGATAAGAGAGATAAAATCCATCTACCCACTCCTTCCCCCTTATGCCTTAGAGGAAATGCCAAACAGACCATCTGCCCCTCCTACTCCCCCCTCCCCCATCTAAAGGCAAGGCTCTACTAAAATACCAAAGGAGCTCTCGCCTGCCTCCCCCCCTCATTCCCCAACCAAAGAGAGATAAATCCCCTCCACCTTCTGCAAGCCGCAAGAGTGAGAGACCTTCAGAACCTGCAGATAAAACCCTGCAAAATTCCATAGTCCCTTATACCCCGCCATCCATCACTCAACAGCTTTGCAATTTCAGGGACTCTCATACAAAAATTAACCCTGCCTCCCATGCTACTCAGGAGTCTGATACAGAACCCATAACTCAAACTACTCAAGCATTCCCAGTTAATATCAACCCTACCCCAGCTAAACCACTTAACTGGTACCCACTCCAGGCCTCAGACCTAAAAGAACTTAGGCAAGCGGTGAAAGAAGATGGCATTCATGCACCCTGGACAAAATCTCTCCTGCAGAGCCATATTGCCAACTTAAATACCCCCCAAGATTGGAGAGATATTTGCCGTTCTGCCCTTCCTGGCCCAATGTTCCTAGAATGGGAAGCCTACTTTCATGATGAATGCCTTCAACAAGCCAGGCAAGACCAGGAGAGGGATGATGACATCCCATGGAGATTTAAAGAACTCTTTGGTCAGGAAGATTTCTCTACTGGAGCACAACAGGCAACTCAGCCAGTGGGGTACTACAAGCAGGTCCACCTCTGTGCCATTCAGGCCTGGAACAGGCTAACTCCACCCTCAGGGTCACAAGACCCCGCCTACTCCCTGCTCTCCCTCCATCAGAAGCCTGGAGAATCCCTGTCCGATTTTATTCTCAGAACTAAAACAAGCTTAGAATGAAAAATCTCCAACCCCACAGCTAGGGACCTTCTCTTTAAAAACATTGTTTGGGAAAGCATGACCTCAGAGTCTAGGCTAGCTTGCCAGGGTCTCCAGGAAGAGCATTCCGTCAGGTGGATTGTGGCGACTCGAGAAATAGGAACCTCGACACACCAGGTTGCATCCGTAGCTCAGGCATTTGTAGCACCAGTAAGGACAGATGGAATCTGCTTCAAATGCGGAGAGGCAGGACATTGGAGGGACGAATGCCCACTAAACTCCCCTCCTATAACAGACTCCAATCCCCCTAAGGCCATCTGTCCCCGATGTAGAACAGGTTTCCACTGGAGGAGAAACTGTACCGCCCGATATGATAAGGATGGCAAGCCACTAGAGCCTTTAAACTTCAAACGGGGGAACCCTCAGCCCCGACAGTAAGAGGGACAACTACTCCTGTAGAAGCCTTATGGGTGTCCAGTATCTCACAAGGCTCCCACCCAAAGTTAACCATTAAAATAAATAATAAACCATTCAAGTGTCTTATTGATACTGGGGCAGATTGGACAATCTTAAGGCAGCAAGAAGTCCCAAAAGACTGGCAAATGATCCCTGGGCCCCAGCTTCTAGGCATAGGGGTTACCTCTCACGCGTGTATCACTAAACAGA